TGGTCCAGTGACACCTGCAGAGGACACAACACAACTGCTTGCTGGCTCGCTTCACCGCCCGCTGATTGTCCAAACACTGACAAAGGAGGAGAATGGGAAGGTGGGTGGGCGGGAAGATGGGTGGATGGGTGGGAAGGAGTGGGCTGGGGGGTTCAGGCTAAGTTGGCACCTTACGTTTACGTTGGTTTACGTTTACGTACGTGGGCCCAAAAAGGCATTACGTTTACGGTCTGCTAAAAAACATTCGGCCTGCCCGATTTTTTTCTGCACCTCGTGTCAGATCTCAGGGGCGAGAGCTGACACAAGGTTTCGTCACATGTGCGCTTGACACGCGGTAGGAACGCGTCCTCATTCCAGTGAACATTCCAACTCGTCGCATGTGCGGCAAAGCTCAAACTCGTTGGGAAGCAAGTTTCTCTACCCAACTACCAGCAGATCTCCCATCATCGGAAACCTAGCACGACCAAGAACCTAAGCGATTCAACATAGCCTAGTAGACGTAGATTATACCCAATTCCCCTCCCCCCACTCTGCCGTAAATCCAGCGCCCACCTCCCTTGGTATTACTCGAGCGAAATCACTATTACTCGAGCGAAATCACTATTACTCGAGCGAAATCACTATTACTCGAGCGAAATCACTATTACTCGAGCGAAATCACTATCACTATTACTCGATTCTGCTCCTAAACCGCCGCCTAAGAGCTTGAGACATCCGTCACTTGGCGTATCAGCGCCTAAAAATTTCCGCGCTTGCGGACTTCTTCTAGACCTAGGATCCGCGAATACACCTCGTCGCAACCACTTTTCACACCTTGTGCGGGCTGCGTAGCTTCCAATTTCGCGTTTTTTTTTTTTTTTTTTTTTTTTTTTTTGCCTGCCCGTACAACTTTACGTAAACTTACGCGTAAACAAATGTAAACGTCAACGTACACGTAACTGTACGTTTACGCGACCGGTTGGGGCGCTAAGTGCCTACCTGAACCGTTCAGGTACAATTGAAAAGGTGAAGGTACATGGGACACCAGTTAACTCACATATCTCAATACCAGTTTACTTGCGCCTGTTTAAAGCGAATTTCAGGGAAGTGCTAGGTTGAGGGTTTAGGCTACCTCAACAAAGTCGCCTCAACACACCTGTTTGGTGGTGGCGGGTACTGGCGACAGATGGTGAGAGGCGTGGAAGATGCTCATGTGGTAGAGGTCAGGGTCCTGCAGCCACACGCCTGATGGGGGGGCGGGTGGGATGATGAGAGGGGCAGGGGAGGCAGTAAGGGGGAGTAAGAATCAACCAGGTCACATGGTGTGAGGCGTGGAAGATGCTCATGTGGTAGAGGTCAGGGTCCTGCAGCCACACGCCTGATGGGGGGGTGGGTGGGATGATGGGAGGGGCGGGGGAGGCAGTAAGGGGGAGTAAGAATCAACCAGGTCACATGGTGTGATACATGCATGGAAGATGCTCATGTGGTAGCGGTCAGGGTCTTGCAGCCACACACCTGATGGGAGGGGGGGTGGGGATGGGGGTGGAGGTCGGAGTAGGAGAAGATTAAGGGTAGCCAACCGGGTCACATGGTGTGAGGCGTGGAAGATGCTCATGTGGTAGAGGTCAGGGTCCTGCAGCCATACACCTGATGGGATGGCGGGAGAGAGAAGAGGGAGGTGTTTAGGATAGATGACGAGGAATCGCCCATGCTCGCCTCCTCTCAAGTGGTACATGTTGTCAACCCGTGGGTGGGATGCAACATGCAAGTTGTCATGCTCGCGTCCTCTCAAGTGGTGCATTTTGCCATCCTGTGGGATGCAACATGCATGCTGTCATGCCCACCTCCTCTCATCATCTCCGTTCCCAGTATCGAGCCTAAGCTATTTAAGTTTTCCCACCCTCGCGTCTTATTTTGAGGCACCCTGTGACGCGTCTCAAAGCAAACACAACCTCACCTCCTCTGAAGTGGTGCATGATATCATCCTTCACAATCTCCCTGCCACAGCACAAACAGGAGAAAAAACAAAGTGTGGGGCACGAGGGTTTCAGGTTTACGTTTCAAGAAGGCAGGGAGAAACAGAGGGAACGTCAAGAGCGGAAGCCTGGCATTTAATGCATGCTCGGTCGTGTGGATGAAAGTGCTTCAACACACGTGCGGGTAAGTGCTTATGTGCCACTGCAGATGTCTTGTCATGTGTCCGAGAGGGGAAAAAGGGGGAACGGGGAGTAGACGGGAAGATTAATCAAACCAAGGAAAACTCTTACTGTATGGAAGCAGCAAAGTCGGGATCCATACGAAGCACATTCGCTCTCACAGGGGGTCTAGAGGCTAGAGAGGAAGAGAAAGTAAAGCTGAGACCAGGGAAAACTCGTACTGTATGGAAGCAGCAAACTCTGGGTCCATCCGAAGCACGTTGGCTCTCACAGGCGGCCGAGCAGGCTGGAAGGGAGAGGTGGCGGGGAGAGGGGCACCAGCAGCAGAGAGTCAGAGAAAGATACGGCGGAGGCCCAAGGGCCGATACAAGGTGAGAGGGAGGCATCGGCCAGGGAAGGTAACAGTTTAGAATGCAGAGAGCACATTCTGATTGCTCAAAAACCTGACTGCTCTCTTGCTGTCTGGTCGTGAATGAGTGCAAGAGAACAGTCACATCTCGGGGCTAGGCGAACTGAACCAGTTGTGGTTGATTGAAACCCACCCTGAGTTGTAATGAATGAACTGCATAGAGCAGTCACAAACTGGTACTCAGGTCTGGTGTGTGAGCAAGAGCCACTGCAACCGCGTCCAGCCAGCCACCTTCAACGACTCTCACGCTTCACCCAGCTTAGATGTCTTGCTGTTGGCATTGGCTTTAACTTGAACTTACGCACCTGGCTCCTTGGCCAGCTTTGGCACTTGGTTCCTCCGAAGCTGTCAACAGCGGCAACAGCAGCAGCAGCAGCATGCCGCACTGCTTCCACTACACCCTTGAGCACTGGGTGTACTTCGCCATGCCGCAGCTCAAAGATGTCCGAGAGCTGATGGGTACCCGCACCACACCGTGCGCCTCAATCACCTGCACCATGCGGCATACAGCAGTCACTGCCATCTATTACCACCACTCGCTCACCCACCTTGAGCACTGGGTGCACTTCGCCATGCCGCAACTCAAAGATGTCCGAGAGCTGATGCGGGAGGGGGGGAGAGAAGGGGGTTAGACGGGAGAGGGAAGGGAGGAGAGAAAACGAGAAAGATTCCTTCAGAATGTGACTGACTGGCCAAGGAGTGGCTGATGTGAATGCCCTAAAATAAAACAGGTAAAAAAAGGTTGGGGGGGGTCTTTGGACTAGACATGTGCATGTGGAGCGAGCGTGGGTGGGTGAACAGGTGAGCAGGCGCATGTGTGTGTATGTGTGTGTGTAAGTGTGTAAGTGTGTCTAGGCAGGGGAGGGGGACATCACGCCACAGAGCAGCACCTTGAGTGACTGCGAGGTGGTGCTGGACCCGAAGAGGAACTCTGCACCCTTGTCGTAGAACTCCGCCTCCATCTTATCGTACACCTCGTTCCTCAGATCGTGGTAGGGACTCTCCGTGCCTGGTGGGGTGTGCAGTGCAAGGGACAGGCACAGACGGTGGCACAGGGAGATGGTGTGCTTGATCCCTGCGTGATCTAGAGGGGAACCCCGTGCCCATCTTGTCGTGTACCTCGTTGCGCATGTCATGATGCGGGTTCTCCGTGCCTGGTGTGGTGTACAAGGGAGGGACAGACAGAGAAATGACTGCTTCACCTAGTGGGGAGCTCCGCGTAACTAGAGGGGGTCCATGGAGGAGAGGTTGAAGCCGAGGACGGAGATGAGCGTCACCACCACCAGCAGGCCCAGGTGAAGGCCTAGAGATGGGTCCTCGGGAATACCTGACCTGAGCTTCAGGAAGAGTGGTACACTCTACCTGGTCCGACGTGGTTCCCTCCGCATGCAGCCCTTGACGTCGGTTCCCTGGGGTCCATGGAGGAGAGGTTGAAGCCGAGGACGGAGATGAGCGTCACCACCAGCAGAGCAGAACCAGGGGACCTGGCCCTGGCCTAGAGATTGAACCCTGGGAAAACCTGACCTGCAGGTGCACTGTACCTGGTCCTACGTGGTTCCCTCCGCAAGCAGCTCGCGACGTCGGCTCCCTGGGGTCCATGGAGGAGAGGTTGAACCCGAGGATGGAGATGAGCGTCACCACCAGCAGGCCCACAGCGAACAGAGCAGCGCGCGCGTTGGTCACCGCGGCGGGCAGGTGGTGCGCGGAGTGCGCGTGGTGCAGGTGCCCCGCGTGACGCGCCGAGCCTTGCTTCGGCGACCCCATGAGCGTCTACGTCGAGCGCTTAGCGAAGTGTGAGTGTGAGCTGTGCGCGCGGAATAAAGAGTGGGGAAACAGCGAGATTCGTATCGTTCGAATTTGTGAAAGGAGCGGTGCGTGCGGGGGCTTCTAGCACTACGCGGACTGCCACCGTTGACGATCAAGGGCACGTCGAGGGCACGTGGTAATGAGCAAGCGAGAAGCGTCGGGAGAGAGTAAGAATCTGCGGATTAACGACTTGTTGGCACACCGCGAGACGTCACACAAAGAAACTTGCGTGCAACCACACGCGCAGAGCTTACTCTACGACGGAAACGAGGGACACCTGCTAAGGCGGGAAGGATGGCATCATACAGACACATCTCTGGAGGCTGAAGTAGGGAGTTATCAGGCACGCGAGCAGCGCTCTTGGTGTTCAAGCCAGCCGCGATACAGACGCACCCAGGGGATTTTCAAAGAGGAATATGAACCCCGTGTTGCATTTTGTTCAAAGTTAGGGCTTGATCCTTTTCCATTTGACAACCAGTTGATAATTTTATTTCATTTTGCTTCCACCATGCTGCTAGGTGTTGGGGTGGAAAGAATGTGGCAGCCACGGTTGCAAGGACCGTACGACTCTGAATGCGCCCTCAGGTTCTCGATCTGTCTACAGCTTCTTGTTCTGTCACAGATAGAGTTTCTAGGTGCCTCAAAAGCGTTCTCTGCAGAAAGAAAGGGATTCCGCTCACCAATCCAGGAAAGCGACGCCTCGCACTCGTCGTTCAGTGGCCTGGCAACGGATTCAGCGGCGCACCATGTAGTCAGCAGATTTTTTTTAGGTTCCGCTGCTTGAGTAGACACCTCTAACTGGAACAACGAGCCGAGACATCTTTACAAACGACCAACGACGGGTCGCTAGTTCCCGCGTACTTTTCTCTGGCATAATAGCGATTTTTTCTGATGTTGGCGTTTTCGAGGTCCCTCGCGTCAGTAGGACGTACCGTGGGACCTCTGGGGCCACCAGTTGATTGGCGACATGTACCGGGGGGCTTTCTAGCCTTCTCGCAACACCCATCCACAAGAGGAGACACGATTGATGAAGTCGCGACTGACCAAGAACCGTTTTCAATGCAAGCGACCCCTCTAACCAGTCGGATCCAGCGCCTAGACTCAGGCAAGGTGCTGCGCTTTGCGTGGGTCGGAAGGGTTCCGGTTGATGGCTAGTAATCTCTCCGTCCGGTCGCTCAGCCAAACTTGTTTTCTTCCTAGCATTTTTAAGGGCCAGGCTCAAGTGCCTTCGTTGTTGTGCCTGGTCTTCACTATTCATTTCTTCTCCTGTGCATAATCGTTGACCCTGTACGTCATCAGGCCCTTCTGATTGAGTTCGCCAACGGCCAGAGGTTTTCTCTGCCAGCAGAGTTACTCCGAGTTAACAGCCCTTCGCCTAAAGGAGGAACCGGACGAGCTGGTGCTGCAGCTAAGGAAAGTTTCATGCAGCAACTCTTTTGGGCCACCCCACCATTCTTTTACTTCCTTGCCCCAATCTCCCACCTCTCCACCCTCCCTTTTTCCCCTCCATTTCTCCCTCTCGCTGTCTATTTCTCTCTAGCTCGCGCCTCCTCTCCCCTCTCCACCTTCCCTTCTCTCTCTCGCCTCTCGAAATTTCCCTGCCTACATATGGTCTTTATCCCAGGTAGTGCTTCCACGCCTCCCTACATTCTGTATCTCCTCTCTTCCCCGTATCCTCATCGTTTTGCCTTCTCTTCATGAGAGGGCCTATGCACACGCAATTCATGTACCTATAATCAGTTTCTTGCTTGTTTGCAGATTTTAGCTGGTCGCCGGTATGTCCACGTTATCAAAGTGGAGCCCATAGGAAACTATGCCATCAGGTTAGCGGTGTGGATGAAAATCTTTTATACACGAGCTTTTCCTATTTGACACTATACTAATTATTGCTTTCTGACCTTTCATGCCCTGATCCCCTTAGGCTTCAATTTGATGATATGCACTCGAGCGGCATATACACATGGGCCATGCTTCATTCTCTGGGTATGAGAAAGTATTCTGTTGCCAAAGCATACATACAAGCATTGCGTTCGAAAGGCCTTAGCAGGGACCCTAGGAAATAGTATTTGTTTGCGCTACCATGTGATGGGAAGGTGAAGCATTATGGTTTGGTGGAAGAGTTAACACTTATCGTATTTTTTACGTATTGTATTTGAAGATTTTCACCCTGATACGGACAGATACCTGCGACCTTTTTGAGTGGCTGGCGAACCAATGAGGCTCTCGTGTACGTACACCTCAGCCCTCACGGTCAAAGTTCAGCGACAATTTCTACTCGTAGAGAGATCTTCAGTGCCCTCGAAGCGAAGCTTGTCCACGTGGCAACCAGATGGACCATTCACTGCTGTTGAAGAAGGATCACCACCAGATTCGACCCACTTCACCCTTCCGTGATCTTCTGCGACGAAAGTCAGTGGCGGCTGGCTGCAGTCCAGATTCTTCGTTCCATCACATTTCTCGATCTCCAGTTTCAGAAGCTCTCTTCCTCCCAGCCCCAACTGGCCTTGGGAATTTCGACTGGGCCTCTGGTTCAAACCTTGAGAATTCCGATTTGAATCAGTTTTGCAGCAAGCTAGAGCTACTCACGCAGGGAGGAAAAATGGGTTCCCTGGCAGCTGCAACAGCCAATGCCAACCTCTTAGCTACAAGCCAGATAGGCCTGAAGGGGCTGACTGGCGGAGCGAATGAGAAGGTATTTTCAAAGCCGACCTATGGCGGCTATCTCAGCCTCGCAGACTCACTGAAGGGCCAGAGAGCTCTTGCTGTGCGATCTGCCCGACCGGTCGTTGCCTGCCGTGCGAAATTCGGAGGTAGGTCTCAATAAGCACGCCAGACCGTAGTAGATACGTCCTCAGACACTTATGATAATTCTTTGCACGCTTTCAGGCCTCTTCGCGCCGAAGAATCAGGATGATGATGAGGAAGAGCCTGCAGCAACTGAAGGCACGCTGAAGCTCCCTTGGAGTTTCCCCGCAGGCAACAAGGGCACTCAGAAAGTAACAGAGGATGTTGAGAAGGCTGAAGGGGAGAAGGGAACCCAGAAATTTGTTTTCACTCCACCCTTTAATCTGTTCGGTGCTACGAAGTCCGACAACAAGTCCCGCGACGACAAGCTCGTGTTTGTTGCCGGTGCGACTGGCAAAGTTGGCTCCCGTGTTGTCAGGTAAGAATTCGTACCTACTTGCAGCTGGTTGCAATGCAATGTATATAAGGCTCACACATGTTCAACTATCTCATCCAGGGAAGCTATCAAGGCTGGATTCAAGGTCCGTGCCGGAGTGCGCAGCCTTACCAAGGCAGATGAGGTCCTCACTGATGTAAGTTTCATTTTTGTGGGGCAATTTGCATTGACAATTATCGCCGAAGTAATTCTTACCCTACAGTCATTACCCTTACTTGGTGTTTGCAGCTTCCGTCGCCACCGAAGAAGGGATTTCTCGATGTAAGTGGATCTTTTGAGTAACCTACTTTTTCGTCACTCGTCGAGAGACCAACAAACAGTTTTTTTTTGTTTGTTGCAGCTTTTCTTTGCGAAAGAGGCCGATGTGGAGCTTGTGGAGTTCGACATTTTTGACCCGGAGTCCGTTGAGGAAGCTATCGGCAGTGCTGGCAAGGTCGTGTGCGCTATTGGTGCATCTGAGAAAGAACTGCTCAATGTCTCAGGCCCGTACAGCGTGGACAAGGTTGCAACAGAGAACCTGATCAACGCATGTACGTTTGTTTTCTGGTCTTTCTGTTCGTATTCGTTTTGAGAGCTGGCCGTTTCTTACGTGTCCTAACGCAAAACCTCATCGTTTCAGCGGCCGAGCTTGGAGTGAAGCAGTTCATCATGATTTCATCGATTGGCACTGAGAAGTTTGGCTTCCCTGCATCGCTGCTGAAGTAAGAAGGGATTTCGGCCGTTAATATTTACCTTCCGAAAGTAACTGGTTTCTCACTCAACTCATCGTTCTTCGCAGCTTGTTCTGGGGCGTTCTCTTCTGGAAGGCGCAGGCTGAGAAGTCCTTGAAAGCGAGCGGCGTTCCGTATCTGGTGCGTCACAACGGCTACGGTGTGCTACGAAACGCAAACTAGTGCCTAAGATGAACTAATTTTGTTGACCCTCGTTGTTGACAGATCATTCGCCCTGGTGGAATGGAAAGGCCAACTGACTCCTACAAGGAGACGCATAACCTGAAGCTCGAGGAAGGTGGCAGTCTGACTGGCGGACAAGTGTCCTCCTTGCAGGTATGCGAATGCTAAATCGTGACAGGCCGCTGACACCTTCTGAGCAGTGCTTTAATGTTTAATTACGCGGTCAATGTTGGTGCAGATCGCGGAGCTGGTTGCTGTTGCCCTGAACAAGCCAAATCTTGCAACAAATAAGGTTGTGGAAGCCGTTGCTGAGACGACTGCCCCTGAAGAGTCCATTGAGAGCCTCTTGGCAGCTATTCCTTCTGATGATGCAGAGGAAGACGATGACGAGTACGACGAAGTAGTAAGTGTCTCCTTGTGGCGAAGTATTCGCGAGTTTGAGAGCTCAAGGTGTTCCTGCTTGAGGTTCCTTTCCACTCACATCTTTCTGAATTGATTGCAGGAGGAAGTCGTAGTAGTCGAGAGGAGGGTGCCGGCTGAGCAAGATACGTCAGCGCGTCAGAAGAAGAAGGAGGCTGAGGTTTCAGCGCGGGAAAGCCAGAAGCAGGCAGAGGCCAGAGCGGCAGCTGAGCGTAAGGCTGCTGAAGCAAAGGCAAAGCTGGCGGAGCAGCTCGAAATTGCTCGTCAGCAAAAGGAAGAGGCTATTGCTGAGGCCCAGACAGTCGCTGCTGAGAAGGCTGCGCTTGAGCAGAAGCGCCAAGAGATCGAGTCACGAGCAGCCGCAGCTTCTCAAGCTGCTAAAGAGGCTAAGGCCTTGGAAGAAGCCGTTCTGGCTGCAGCCGCGGAAGGTCGAATGTATGTACTTCTGCCGACCAACCTTCACTCGTCTCACACCTCCTGGTAGAGCCCCAGGCTGTTCTGGCTCTGTCTGACATCCATTTTTGTGCCAATGTGTGTTTCTGTGTGTGCAGCTTGAGCCAGCGTGAAAAGGACCGTTTCATCCGAGAATTGCGTGAGAAGGAGGCAGCTGCTGCCGCTGCAGCTGAACTAGCGAAGGCAAGAGCAGAAGCTGAAGCTCGAGCCAAGGAAGCGGCAGCAGCCAAGGCTAAGGCAGATGCAGAGGCACTGGCTAAGGCCAGGGAGCAGGCTGCTGCCCAGGCAAAGGCTGAAGCAAAAGCCAAGGCCAAGGCTGATGCTGAGGCCAAGGCCAAGGCAGAGGCTGAGGCGAAGGCTAAGGCCAAGGCAGCGGCAGAGGCAGAGGCTAAGGCCAAGGCAGAGGCTAAGGCCAAGGCAGATGCAGAGGCTAAGGCCAAGGCAGAGGCAGAGGCCAAGGCCAAGGCAGAGGCTAAGGCCAAGGCCAAGGCAGAGGCTGAGGCTAAGGCCAAGGAAGAGGCGGAGGCTAAAGCCAAGACCAAGGCGGAGGCTAAGGCCAAGGCGGAGGCTAAGGCCAAGGCGGAGGCCGAGGCTAAGGCCAAGGCGGAGGCGGAGACCAAGGCCAAGGCGGAGGCGGAGGCCAAGGCCAAGGTAGAGGCGGAGGCTAAGGCCAAGGCGGAGGCTAAGGCCAAGGCGGAGGCTAAGGCCAAGGCGGAGGCGGAGGCCAAGGCCAAGGTGGAGGCGGAGGCTAAGGCCAAGGCTGAGGCAGAGGCGAAGGCGAAAGCTGCAGCAGCAGCAAAAACTGGAGGTGGATTCCGCTGGCCGTGGCAAGTGGAGCAGTCAAAGTCATCCACGGACCTTCCACCAAGCCCGACTCCCCTGTCACCCTACACCATGTGAGTTCTACATTCGAAACGTCAAGAGAACAGCAGCTGAACTTTCTGTAAGAAAGGAATAACTTGACTCATACCGCATATTTAAACTCACTCATTTGAAGCAGTTATAACATTCCTGAAGATAAGAGATCAATTGTTTAATACGGATATGCTCACTTCTGCATCTCAACAAGCATAATTTGATGCGTGGTGTTATGCTTCAGGTATCCTGACCTGAAGCCCCCTACTTCTCCGACTCCATCTCCTCCCAAGCCGAGCCCTGAGGTAATTGCTGCCAAGGCCAAGGCAGAGGCCGAGGCCAAGGCAAAGGCAGAAGCTGATGCTAAGGCGAAGGCTGCGGCGGAAGTTAAAGCCGAGGCTGAGGCTAAGGCCAAGGCTGATGCCGAAGCTAAGGCCAAGGCTGATGCCGAAGCTAAGGCCAAGGCTGATGCCGAAGCTAAGGCCAAGGCTGATGCCGAAGCTAAGGCCAAGGCTGATGCTGAAGCTAAGGCCAAGGCTGAGGCAGAAGCTAAGGCTAAAGCTGCAGCAGCTGCTAAGGCCAAGGCTGAAGCTGCTGCGAAGGCAAGCAGCAGTGGTGGGGGTCTAGCATTCCGCTGGCCATGGCAAGTTGCTGAGGCTCAGAAGTCGTCTACAGATTTGCCTCCTAGCCCAACTCCTCTCTCTCCATACACAATGTAAGCCACTCGCTTCCATTTTGGGTCAACTGAGTGAGTGAACCTTCCAACTTCAAGTGCTTTCACCATGACTGAACCACGGCTTATGTTTGTCTTGTCCAACGTCTGATGTTCAGGTACCCTGATCTGAAGCCCCCGACATCTCCCACCCCATCTCCTCCGAAGCCTGATCCTCAAGCCAAGGCTGCTGCTGAGGCTAAGGCCAAGGCAGAGGCTCAGGCCAAGGCTAAGACAGAGGCCGAGGCCAAGGCTAAGGCAGAAGCAGAAGCGAAGTCCAAGTCTGAGGCAGAGGCCAAAGCTAAGGCAGAGGCTGAGGCGAAAGCAAAGGCTGATGCTGATGCTAAAGCAAAGGCTGAGGAAGAAGCCAAGGCTAAGGCTGAAGCAGCTGCCAAGGCTAAAGCAGAAGCTGAGGTTAAGGCCAAGGCTGATGCAGGAGGGAAGGTGAAGGCAGCAGCTGAGACACAAGCGAGTGGTGGTGGTCTCAACTTCCGCTGGCCGTGGCAGGTTGCAGAGGAGGAGAAGTCCTCCACTGACCTTCCACCAAGCCCAACCCCACTGTCTCCCTACTCACAGTAGGTCTTGTTGCAAGGATTATAAAAAGAACTAACACAGTTGCTTCTTTGAACCTTCGATTCTGCATGCACATCCCTAACGCATT